TTGATTTAAGGTTCCCATAAGGCTCTTTTCTATTCAATTCCCACATGCAGTGCAACAAAGTCAAAATAACTCTTTTTAAAGAAACTGCAGTGTAACTTAATATTTTAATCAGCACAGCTAATTATAAAAAGGGTAAACTACTTTTTAAATAACTTAACTCCTGCAACACCAGAGGCCATATTCCACTTGCACTTCCACTTGCACCACTGGTACTACTCAAAGTCTGAAGCTGTAGTTTCCTCCACAGTGACTAGTCAAAATGCCTCAATTCTAACCCTAAAGGGGCCAATTGCAGGGATAGGATGACTTAGTCTTAATGAACAATCCATTTCTGGCCTCTCTGTTCTGATGATGCTTTTTGTGATATGGACTGTATCCACTAGGAGGTGGATTCAAATCTGAGTGTTCAGTTCATCTGGATGGGAGCCAAGGGCGACTGTGTTTGACTTCTGGTTAACCAGTGTGGTGTTGCAGAAGCTCTTTTGTTACTGGCTTGGTAAATCTAATTATAGAGCAGGGGTCGGCAACCTTTCAGAAGTGGTGTGCTGAGTCTTCATTTATTCACTCTAATTTAAGGTTTCACGTGCCAGTAATACATTTTAACGTTTTTAGAAGGTCTCTCTCTTTCTATAAATCTATAATATATAACTAAACTATTGTTGTATGTAAAGTAAATAAGGTTTTTAAAATGTTTAAGAAGTTTAATTTAAAATTAAATTAAAATGCAGAGCCCCCCGGACGGGTAGCCAGGACCCAGGCAATGTGAGTGCCATTGAAAATCAGCTTGGCACGCGTGCCATAGGTTGCCTACCCCTGTTATAGAGTAAACCATCAGTTTTGGACAATTGCCTGCCCTGATTCTTGCAGTTTGCCCTGAGCGTGGCATTCTCAGTGTGGTCAATCCCAGGCACCCAGTTACACCAAGTATTTTGATTTATTTTACAAAAAAAATGTGCATGATTTAAGGTAATTTTAAAAGAAAATATACACTATAGGCCCTGCCATTCAACATGAATCTTCTCAACACTACATATAAAGTAACGCACACTAAACACATGAAACAGGAACTGCAACGTAACATTTAACATCTGCAGTTAGGAACTTGTTACATTACTGGCAGTGCAAACAATCAACAACAAAGAACCCCTTCTTGTGTTATCCTACAGAGGAAAGGAGAAATAAAATTGACAGTGACCTCTAATTAGGATTACTTCCATCAGTTATTGAATATATAGCAGGATTTGAGAATTTTTGATGACCCTGAATAAAGCTACCTTCAGTTAGTAACAAGCTGGTGAAGTTGATATCTTGTAAAGGCCAACTTGATTGACTGGTTTATATTTGTAAATTACAATGAATATCTATTAAGTATTATAAGTGTCAATAATTAACCTATGAATCAAACTTTTACACTCTAATGGCCCCCTTGTTTTTCTCTTCATGAGCACAAACTGATTGGAAAGAAATTTGGTTTTAGTTAATGTAAATTGTTATCCTAATTCTTATGATTATATTCCAGACAAAAACTTCATTAAAATAGAATTAAGGTTGAGAGTATATATCAGTAATTTAGGGTAAACTACATTACAGGGACATTGTAATTATACTAAAACCAAGTATATTCAATCCAGAAAATTCACAATTAAAGCTAAACTTAAAATAAATTCAAACATGACAAGGCATAGAAGTGTACTTCTGGGGCACGCAAACAACCTTAACTGATCTGTAGTGACCACCTGTGAGAGCAAGGGGCAAAAGGGGAAAGAATCTAATGTGTCTTTAAAAATCAATTTAATCTAAATTACAAAGAATAATGGGGGAGCGAGGAAATGACCATTCATCCTAAATAAATAAAAAACAAAAATCTTCAGATGTAGCTTCTGCACAAGACTTCCATGAGCTTTAACTACATGGGAAATCTGAAGAATATGTGGCTGGGCGGAATTAAGGTTGTTTGGGTGCATTAACTGTCCATCTGCTTTGTTTTGGGATAGTCACAGCATCCCTGGAATGTATTTTACCTTAAATTATTGATATGCAGTCTCAAACTTAATGTAATTTTTTGTCTGATGATGTAAAGAAAGTGCTAGCCATGAAGTCTAGATTTTGGAATTTGTTTATTATTAACCTCGGGATGGGGAGTAAAACAGAAGTGGAAGCCTGAATGTAGTAAGGAATCTACATTCATGGAAGATTAGCAGAAATGCTATGAAGATGACAAACGTATCTGTTGTTCATATGTAAGTACCACAAACTGAATCTAAGCATTAAAATCTAGAGCAGAATAAAACAAAGAAATTAAAGATAAAAGGAAAATACTTACCAGTCTCCATTTGTTGTTGACAGCTTCTGTAACAAGCAAAGAGATTCCTGCCCAGGATTACTCGGAGACCTGCAGAATGAATGGGTTTTCAAACAATGAGAAATAGAGCTGGCTGAAACATGTTGAAGATTTTCAGTAGAAAAAATTGACACTTTGGGGGACTATCTTTGATAGAAACATGTTGAAAAACATCCAGCCATCCTCCTCTTTGTTGTCCCATGGGGCTCTGATTAATTTAGGGTGAAACTTTAGTTCTGTTTTGAACACCCACCTGGTGCACAGGCCTTCTGCACAGGTGTGAATTTCATCCTTAGCCTACAATTTTCTGATTAGCAGTAGATAATATATTCAGGGTTAATTTTTTGTTTTGGTACCTTTTGATTTCTTTAGGGATAGCACAACTCTTTCTACTTATTAGAGTTATGATGATCCAACTCTCTGAGGTGTTTCACATAATTAATAATCTATTCTCCATTACAATTTCCAGACTTCTTGCATTTAGTCATTTGCACATCCTTCTTGGGTTCCAGTGAAGAGTCAGGAGTTTTAAGAGAAAGCTGGGGCTTACTACCAATTTATGTCTTACGTTTCTAAAGCTCATGCTTTAGGGTTTCAGTCGGCCACTGGCAGCGGTCAGGAAGGAATTCCCCCCCCCCCCCAAAGAATTCTGGGAGGTTTTTTTATCTCCTTCTAAAGCTCAGGGATGGCCACGGCTGGACATGGGGTAGGGTAGGTGAGGACTCTGAGGTGTACCAAGTATTCTTTCTCTCAGGGGTTTGGCTGGCTGGTTCTTGCTTACATGCTCAAGGTCTAACTGATCATCATATGTGGGGTTAGGAAGGAATTTCCCCAGGCCACATTAGCAGTGATGTTGTGAAGAAGGGTTCACCTTACTCTGCAGAGTTTGTGAGTGTGGGTCATTTGCCAGAATCATCTGAGAAATCTCACTTATCATTTTCTTGCCATTGTGGGGGCCTCGAGGACTGGTGCACTTTGATCCCTCCTAGTCTCTGCCTCTGGCACATAACAGTCTAGTCTCCTCTGGGACGTAATACTTTGGTCTCATTTTGGTTGTTGGATTTAGTGTACAGATTCTGGGGTGTGTTGGTGACCTGTGATATACAGGAGATCAGATTAGATGATCTAGTGGTCCTTCTGGCCTTAAACTCTACAATTCTATGATGACCTGTGTCACACAGGCTTTCATTAGTGACATTTTTACATGATATTTTTTGGTAAATTAATATGTAGATCCTGGAGCAGGGGATCCCTGTGCCCAGTGGTTTCTATGAAGTCTTTTGCTTAGCGAGTCTTTAATATGATACTAGCTACAGGAACTGAGCTACTAAACCAATAATTTCAGTAACCACCTGTGCTTTGAGATTAGCTCAGTGAGCTAGAAATAGTAGTGAGTGCTGTCACAGAGCTCATGTCTTGACATCACAACCAGAGACCTCAGAAAACTGTGCCTTGAAATGGGCCCCAGTTAGCTAGTTGTAATGAACCAATGACTTCACAATGCCTGTTCCTTGATATCTGCAATATTGCTAACTCTCATAGTCATTGGTGTTCTCAAGCTCCAGATTTCTGAGTTATGAAAATATGTGAACCCCATCTTTCACCAGGGCAACCCTCCCGCCCCCCCCCCCCCCCCAACACACACACACACAAGTTTATAATCTTTATGATTGTGGAGAAAAGCTTGAAAACATGACCCAACGTAAGACCCAGAAACCAAAAGGCAAGGAAAGGATGTGAAATTTAGTTTAAAAAAATCTCATTAAATCTCATTAAAGCCAATCTCATGATTTGCATATGTGGGACTATCTGTAGGAGTATAGATGAACACAAGTGTAATTAGAGCCATACCCTGTAGGCAGCTGGCAGCCAAGCCTTCTATTCCTTGTGCACCTACTGATGTTCAAGCTTGTTCAAGACCCCCCAAAACATGAGTTTTCGAAGTAATACATTGAGGGCACTTTTTATTTGTCATCTGGATTGTGAACCTCTCAGAGTACTCTTGGGCTATGTTTTCAAGCTTGCTCACACAACTGTGTCACCTAAAAAGTTACTTTAAAAAAACAACAACCCTAAAAGCGGAGATTCTCCCGCAATCACGTGAATGCAGGAGTTGGGGTTTTAAGAAAAACAAATATCGCACGAGTCGTGATAAGAGCATGAAGACTGGCAACAGTGGGGTGCTGCTACCTATGTTTAATGATGTGTGGAAAGAGCAGCAGCTTGCCCCTTACTGACTAAGGCACCACTTTGCTCTTCTTCCTCCCTTTCTTTTCATCCTCCTTTTAAGATAACCCTTTGCTACCAGTCACCATTTGTTTGGTTTCTGCTCTACACGGGTTATTATTAAACATTCATTATTGCTGCTGGGAATTGATCACTCCTCCCTCCCTCTCAAAACACCCACACGCACTTTCCCTCGCATGCTTCCCAGACAGAAGCAGCCGCAGCCTTAGCGGGCTGCTCTGCAAGCTCCCCAGCCACTAAAGCAAGAGCAGCGCGCGCCTCACGCCGCCAAACGGGCGGGCGCAGGCGAGAAGCCCCGCCCCCCTCCCCAGACCGAGCGCGCGCGGGGAATCGCATGCTTCGCCTAATCGATTTGGCCTAAAGCGGCTTCCGTGAGCCGTCTGAAGTGCGCGTGTGTGAGCCGCAAAGTAACATGGCGGCCGCCAGTGGCTGCCTCTTCTCCTGCGCCCGCCCGATGCTGCCCCGGCTTTGCGGGGGGCTGGCCGCAGGGCCCAGGTCGCTCCTCGGGGTATCGGCTTATTGCACCGCCCTGGTTGTGGGGAGCGGGGGGCCCAGGCAGAGCGAAGGTGAGACCCGCCCCCGGGCAGGGCGCTCGGGGCGGGGCCGCTGAACCCCCAGAGGTTCCATTGTAGGGATTCGAACTGTAGCTCCCCGCGTCTCTGCTGGGTGTTCCGTTCTGTCCTTTGACAGGAAAAAACTAAATGCCAAAAGAACCTTAAATACAGTAAACTACGGTAACGTTAAGTCTGCGCATAACATACTTTAATATATTTGACTTTGTTTTCAGCGTGGTATTACCTCTGAATTCCCTGGGGCTATAATGCTTGGTTTGGGGGTAATCAACACTTGCTATTGATGTTACCTGGCAGGTGCTCACATACTATAGGGCTGGGTAGCAATAAAAAACCTGAAGATCTTTTTGCAAGTTGTCCAAAGCTATGGAAGTAGACTTTGTTATAGTCGTCATATCTTTGCTCTGATGTTGACTACTTTGGCTGTGAGCAATCCGTATATTTTGTCACTCTTGCTTCACAAATTGTCATCAGGATATACCAATTGTTAATAAGGTCAGACTTCCTATTCATGAAACAAACTTTCTATGTGTTAGCTTCTGTGCATGTAAATATCTACTGATGGGAGAGCAGGATCTTCCTGGGCAGTACAGAAGACTAGTTCATCAGATACATATTACAAAGATTGATGCAGGTCACAAGATCTAATTCAGTCTTGCCATGAGTGGATAGAAATTAATTTGTATTGGTGATACACCAGGGCTGAATTTGTCCTAACATCGTTAGAGTGCTTAAAGATCTGCTAAATTACGACTAGGGTATGATTTTATTTGCTATATTGATTTTAGCTCATAAACATTGTATTCTTGAAATATGAGCTTAGGAACATGAGGTTGGTGTTCCTTTTTGCCATTTTTTAAATTTAAATGTTCAAACAAGACTCTGAAAATGTACCAATGTGAAAGATGTTAGGGCTGGGGAGGAAGTTAACAAGTGAGGTCCATGGTCAGTTTCATGTTGAGAAGTCATCCTCTAGATGGTAGGTGTCTGGTAAGTTTGAAACTCCTTCCTCATTCTGGCAGCTCAAAGTGAAAACTCCTCTATCCTTCCCCACTTTCTTTGCCAGGACCCATTGCTGTGATGTGGGACAGGGTGTATGTGTGTAAAACTGACATTCTTTAGATTGTTGTACGCAGTGTTATTGTAGCTATGTTGGTCTCAGGATATTAGATACACAAGGTGGGTGAAATAATCTCTCTCACTTGAGCAGCTGCTGTTCATGAGAGAGATAAGCTTACACCAGACCCGAGGAAGAGACCTATGTAAGCTTGTCTCTCACCAACAGAAGTTGGTCAAGTGGAAGATATTACCTCACCCATCTTGTCTCTCTAATTCTTCAGAGTTTCACAATTGCCAACCCAGAGGTGAAACTCAAGTGTCTTGTTCATTTTACTATGTTGCTCATAGCTTTCCTGAACAGCAACAGCAAAAGCACTAGAGCTGTGCTCAGACTCTGGAAGACAGCACTGTATTAATTTACATTTGAAAGGTTATCTCTGCAAATGCATGGGCTCTGCATAAAGGCTAGAAATTTAACTCTTTAAAGGAGAGCTTCAATTCTGCAGAAACTGATGGCCTAGGTTGCTCTTTTCCACAGATATCACTTACCAGCGGTGGGAAGGAAGCTGTGTGTGTGTGTGATTTTTTTTTTTTTAAATCGTCCTGATCTGAAAGCCAGTTCTCATCACTGTTTTTTGTCTAACTATAACAATTAATTCTGCAGGTTGGATTTACCATTTAGTTTTACTGTTATCTTGAGATGCCGTGGAATGATGAGGCAAAGTAAAAATTGTTGAATGTGCAAGTTTTTAAGCAATGCTGCTTAAGTCTTACTGAAGATACTGCTTTATCTTGCAGATGCAGCATCGAGCAGGACATCACAAATTGCAAGAAACAGAAGAGTGGTAAGAAATAAAAATGTTTGCAACTACCTTATCTGCAAGACTTTGAAGAGCGTTTACTGTGTATTTTAGTAATTTGTCCATTAACCCTCCCTGTCCCAAGAAGCTTACAATCCAACCGTAAGACAACAGATGGATCCAGACAGTCATGGGAATACAAAGAAATGATGAGATGCTATTAGTCAGCATGATAGGCAGCGGTTTCAGCACACCAGCAACCTACCCGTTGTCAAGGCTTTTGTAGGCATCGTGGCAAAGAGTTTTAAGGAGGGATTTAAAGGAGAAAAATGAAATGGCTTTGCGTATGTTAGGGCAGGATGGATTGATTTAAATCAGTGACTTAAATTACCAGCTTTGATCGCGATTTAAATCAGCAAACAGGAAACTGAGATTTAAATTGTTTTTTTAGTCTTGTTTTGCATCTGTACTTTTTAGTTCTTTTCCTAAAGAAAGATTGATTCTCATTGGTTGGTAATCATTAAAACATCTTGACTTGGAACTAAATATAGCCTTGAAATTAAATTTGGTGTTTCTTTTTGTTAATCAGGAGGATATGCCATATCAATACACATTTATTTAAGTAGTCATAGCTTACATCTATTCCGAATTTTAATTTTTACTCACTAGATGAATCTTTTACTCATGACTTGTCAAGCTTTTTTTGAAAAATCAACTAAAATTGCACAAAACAGCATTTTAAAATTGTTTTTTAGTTAAATAAAACTACTTGAAATGTGCAGGATACATAAGAAAAAAGAGTTTTGCATTTAAAACTAACTGATTTATTAAACAACATGTGAATTGAATGATTGTTTCTGGTCACCATTTTCCTTCAGAATTTTAGAACTAGTGGACCTCATCCTTGCACACTTAGTTTTTATGCATAGATTGGAAGAGGAAGACAAGTTTTCCTACATTTTGAACTCCAGTTGGTTTCTTAACTTTGAATGAACTAGTAATTGAACAGAACTAGTTGAATAAACTAAAATGAAGAAAATATTTTTTTTGCATCTGCAAAAGAGGCTACTTTTGTCAAAAACTGGTTTAACATTTCAACTAACTCTTGGTTACAGTTTAGTCCATGACTTCCACCAATGCAGTGGTTTAACTTTCTTTAAGACTTTGGCAGAAAACATGTACTGCCTCATAATGTTGTTTAGTTTAATTAAATGATTTTAATAGGTTATAATAAACTTAGGCCTTAACATAGGTTGTTATAATTTCAAATGTAATTTTAAATAAGCTGATTTAAAAAAAATAAACTTGTGTTTAATTTTAAAAATCTGATTTATTTACATATTACACATACACACATTTTTATCCATCCTGTCTTATAGAGAGTTCCTCCCAAGCATGAAAGGCAGCATGAGAGAGAAATTTTAGGTGCTTGCTTTGAAAATTTAGCAAGTGGGCAATGGAGGCTGGCATCATGGACCATTATAAGATAAGAGTTGATCTTTAGACACTGAGGGCAGGTCTGCACTGAGGAGGAAAGACTATCTAAGCTACACAAGTTCAGTTACGTTAGTAGGGTAACTCAAGTCGACATAGCTTAGATCTACTTACCGTGGGGTCCACACTATGCTATGTTGACGGGAGAGCGATCTGTGGTCGATTTAACGGGTCTTCACCGGTGGATTGATCGCTGCAACGTCGATCCACTGGCAAGTGGAGACAAGCCCTGAATGAGCGATAATAGGTAGTGGGGGTAAGCTATAAAGGGCTTTGAAAGTATTTGGTGCGGTATAGGAAAGGCAGTCCGTGGAGGGATGCGGAGAGGGGTGATATGGTCAAAGTGACAGGGTAGGAAAATACAATTTGCAGCAGCATTCTGAATGGCCATTAGTGTGGGAAGATTGCATTTGTCAAGGCCAGAGAGAAAGAGGTTTCAGTAGTCAAGATGAGAGCCTGGATGGGGGTTTAACTGTGTGAATGGATGGGAAGGGATGTATCTTAGAGATGTTATGCTGAAGGAATCCATAAGACTTAGACATAGCCTGGATGTAAAGACGTAGAGAGAGGTTGTAATTGTACTGAAGCCAAACATTGCCAACTCCAGGTCCTCAGAGTTAAGGTAACACTTAAGAAATCCATATATGTTGAAGTGTGGCCTTGACTCTTGAGTTTTCTGCATTTGCAATACTTGATTTTAGGATAATTACATCAACTATCATGGCTTTGACACTAAACTACTAATGCATACTCTCAACATTAACTCTGTCTGAGTGGGCTTTTTTGTCTGGGAATCTCCTGTGTGTGTGGTTTGTTTGTTTGTTTGTTTTTAATAAACACATGGTCACTCAACAAGAAATCCAAAGGGAATGCATTATTTCTGATTATTTTAATGAAAATATAAACATATAAATATATAAAAATATATATATATATACACGCACACTTTTAAGGGCAGATTCAGTGCCACACCAAAGCAGCCAGAGCACAGCAACCAGTTAAGCTGAATCTACAGCTGCTTTGTAATAGCAGAGCAGTGCAAAGTGGCCAAAATGCTGGTGAATCTGGCTCTAAACCAATTGACTTATTGGTTTAAAGGGTTGTGTTAGTAAGATATGTGGTATGTGCAGTGGTGGGATAGAGCTCAGTCCGAGGCCCAGTATGGCTGTGCTTTAAAAGTTCCCTATCTTGGCTCCCTCATCAGTACTTTCTGTGCGCAGTGGAGATGAAACATCAGTGCCATGGGGGCCTTTCAAGCACTAAAACCCAAGCTATATTTAAGTCGTTAAACCTTTCAAGAAGAGTGACAGTTGTGCCAAGCAATCTACCAGTGAGAGTGTTTGACACATGTCCATTCTCCCTCATACCATTGAATCATTACAACTAATAGTTGTAGAATGAAAACTATTTGTAGATTCCTGTGGTGATGGCTTAGGTTATCTCTGTAACATTGGCCCTGCTTGTGTTACATGATCCAGTTTTTAATTACTTTTAAAAATCCCTAAACTAACAGATAATTCATTAAAAGAACAGGAGTACTTGTGGCACCTTAGAGACTAACAAATTTATTAGAGCATAAGCTTTCGTGGGCTACAACCCACTTCTTCGGATGCATCCGAAGAAGTGGG